CTCGCTCCTAATGGGTAGGGTTGTGGATATAAAATTTTCTACCCGATAGAACCCGACCCGGCCGAAGTTCATTTTACTATTATTATGCTGAGTCCCGCTTCGTGTACACGCCGGGTTACACGCCGGTCAAATTGTCTGTATACAGACAATTTGATCGGCTAGACAGACAATTTGACCGGCGTTTTATGAAGAAAATCGATTTCCATACAGACAAAATATCAAGAGTTGTCTGTATCACAGACATTTTAAACCTGAATTTTTCATAAAGTGTCTATGATACAGACATTTTTTTTTATTTTTGTCTGTGCGAAAATCGGTTTTCTTCGTAAATCGCCGCTCAATATGTCTGTGTAGTCGATCAAATTGTCTGTACACAAACAATTTGACAGACGTGTAACCCGGCGTGTAAAATTTGGCGTGTACAAAAGGAATTTTCCTATTATGCTACAATGTTTTCTTGGATAATTTCAATTTAAGACCAATGTGCTCTATACAGGACTTTATGATACTAGAATTATAATTAAACATTTACCATTTTGACTAGGTGATTATTATATATTTATGTTTCCTTCTAAATTATCTTCCTTTACGGAAGGATGTTTTAATACTATTATCTAATGTTTTTGCTTATAAAATATACGAGTACTTGTATTTGTTTGTGTGTTATGAAAACAAGTTAATGGAGTTTTAAATTAGTTACATTAATCTCCCACATAAAGATGCAACCCGAAGTGATTTTTTTTCAATACCCAACCCTACCCGACCCGTTCATGCATGGTTTACCAACTTATTTTGCGTACCACGGATTAATAATAGTCAACCCGAACAAATCGGATAGACCCAAAAAATATAGCAAACCCGACCCAACCCGCCCGATGTACAGCCCTAACGGAAGATAACACAAAGAAACAAGAAAGCAAATGAGGAAAGAGAGCATAATTAGTGACCTTCACTTTGCAAGTATTTACTAAAATACCTAGCTGTACCAAGTGACACGGTGCAGTCAGGTGTACGGTACCCTATTTCGGAAGATTCTCCATCATTATTGTTAAGATGTAAATACCAAGATTAATTCAATAAGTGTATTTTGCACATTATAAATAAAGGCATCGGGCTGTACAAATGGCAGTCAGCCTATTTCCCCAATTATCAGCTTATCCGTTTTTCTGTTATTCTTCTACCTGCTCTAACAAACTGGTATCAGAGCGAGAAGAACTCTGCGTACTCTGCGTATCCTGAGATCCAAGAACGACGGAGGTGCTGAACAATTTCTCTTCTAATCTCCCTATTCTCGACGGCAAGAATTGGCGTCGCTGGTCCATCCAGATGAAGGTGCTCTTTGGATACCAAGACGTTCACGAGATAGTGGAAAGAGGATTTCCGGTATTGACCGAGAATTCCACAGATGCGGAGAAAGCTGCTTACAGCGCAAACAAGAAGAAAGACTGTCAAGCAATGTTCCTGATCCATCAGTGTGTGGATAACGCCCATTTTGAGAAAATCGCCAGTGCAACTAGCTCCAAAGAAGCCTGGCAGATTTTGGAGAGGAGCAATGAAGGTGCTGATCAACTCAAGAAAGTTAAACTTCAGACATTGAGGAGACAGTACGAATTGATGAAGATGGAAGGTAATGAGAAGGTAGAGGAATATGTAACTCGAATTATCTCTGTGAGTATTGATATGAAGTTGTGTGGTGAGAAAATGACTGAACAGAATTTGGTTGAGAAAGTACTCAGAACTCTACCCCCCAGTTTTGATCATGTTGTTGTAGCCATAGAAGAATCCAGAGATCTTGAAACCCTGAAATTGGAAGAATTGAAGGGTTCTCTGGAAGCAAATGAGCATAGGATTCTGGAGAGGAAGGCTGATAAAGCTCCAGATCAAGCACTTCAGGCCTTGACTTCCAAGAAATCTACTGGTCGAGGAGGTCATCGTGGCCGTGGAAGGGGCAGAGGCAGAGGTTATTCTGGCAAGAATAATTCCTCATCAGACTACCAGCAATATGATCAAAACAAAGAAGGCAGTTCAAAGAGAGGGGGGTACAATCGGACTAGAGGAGGCAAGAAGAAACTGGATAGGAAGAAGATCCGCTGCTTCAATTGTGACAAGATAGGTCACTTCTCCACTGAATGTAGAGCACCCAGTCGAAATGACCAGTTCGTGGATGGAAAACATGGGGAAGAAGCAAATCTAGTTCAAGAAAATGGGAAAGAATCTGATGAAGATCCTGTTACCCTAATGATGACTACAATTTCTGGTGAGGAGCAGATGAATACCTGGTATTTGGACTCAGGGTGTTCAAATCATATGACAGGCCATAAGAATTAGCTTGTCAATTTTGATGAAACTAAGAAGAGCAAAGTGAAGTTTGCTGATGATAGACTGATCTTGGCACAAGGTTCAGGAGATATCATCATCAAGAAGAAAAATGGATCAGAAGCAATTATCACAGATGTTCTATATGTTCCAGGAATGAGGAGTAATCTACTGAGTCTTGGTCAATTGTTGGAAAAGAATTTTGTAATCCATATGCAACAAAGTGTGCTACACGTATTTGGCCCAAGTGGGAAACTGATGTTTAAAGTTCCCATTTCCAACAATAGGACTTTTCAAGTTCAAATCTCTGCAGTAGATAACCAATGTTGTGTGGCTGAATCTCATGTATTGGATCATTCTTGGTTGTGGCACCTCAGATTTGGACATCTGAATTTCAGGGACTTAAATAAGCTGTGTACTCAAGGTATGGTTTCTGGACTACCTTCAATAAGCAAGCCTGATAAAATCTGTGATAATTGTATGATTAGCAAGCAGGCTAGAGGTGTCTTTACTAACTTCATACCTCCTAGAGCAACTGGTTTGCTGCAAGTAGTATTTTCTGACGTGTGTGGGCCAGTTGAAACTGCTTCCTTGGGAGGTAATAAATACTTTGTTTCCTTCATTGATGAGTTCAGTAGGAAGATGTGGGTGTATCTGCTGAAAGTCAAAAGTGAAGTATATGACACCTTCAGAGTTTTTAAATGTATGGCTGAAAAACAATCTGGATGTGTCATTAAGATATTGAGAACTGATGGTGGAGGGGAATTCTGTTCCAATGAACTGGAAAGTTACTGCAGGGACAATGGTATTCTACATGAGATTACTGCTCCCTACACTCCACAGCACAATGGCATAGCTGAGAGGAGAAATAGGACAGTTCTCAACATGGTTAGGTGCATGCTTAAAAGTAAAAAACTACCACAATACCTCTGGGGAGAAGCTGTGTCTACTGCTGTATATATACTAAACAGGTCCCCTACAAAGAGGCTAACCAATCAGGTACCAGAAGAGGTTTGGTCTAGAGCAAAACCCTCAGTCACCCACTTCAGAATATTTGGGTGTTTATGCTATAAGCATATTCCAGACAAATCAGAAGGAAGCTGGATGACAAAGGTGAACCTATGATTTTTGTTGGATATAATGCTACTGGATCCTACCGGCTGTTAAATCCAAAAAAGATGAAAGTGGAACTTAGCAGAGATGTCATTTTTGATGAGTTAAACAACTGGAGTACTGACACAGAATTGTCAGAATCATCTCAAGTCAGATTGAACCACGATTTGACTGGACCCACATCCACAATTTATGATGGAGGAAGTAGCAACAGTGGAACAGGTCAAAGTGAGGAAGTAAACATCAGACCATCAAGAAATAGAACTTTGCCACACAGACTGAGGGATTTTCAGATTCTCAGAGATTCTGAGATTAATGAGGATGGTGATCCTATATATCTGGCTTTGTTAGCGGATATGGATCCAATTTCTTTTGAAGAAGCAATTCATCAAGAAGTATGGGTGAATGTAATGAAGGAAGAACTCAGGTCTATCAAGAAAAATCAGGTTTGGGAACTCATAGACTTACCTGCAGGAAAAACCCCTATTGCAGTCAAATGGATATATAAAGTTAAGACTCATGCTGATGGATCCATAGCCAAATACAAAGCACGCTTGGTTGCCAAGGGCTTTATGCAGAAACCTGTAATTGATTATTCAGAGATTTTTGCTCCAGTTGCAAGGTTTGAGACCATAAGGGTCATTGTGGCTATAGCTAGTGTAAGAGGCTGGACTTTGTGGCATTTAGATGTAAAATCTGCATTTTTGAATGGGTCACTTGAAGAACTGGTGTTTATCAAACAACCACCAGGCTTTGAAGTAAAAGGCAAAGAACATCAAGTGCTCAGACTCAAGAAGGCCCTATATGGGTTGAAACAAGCACCCAGGGCATGGAATAGGAGGATTGACCAGTTTCTGGGAAGTCTTGGCTTCAAGAAATGCACTGTGGAGCATGGTGTTTACATACTGGTTAAAACCTCAGGTTCCATTTTGTATATTTGCCTATATGTAGATGATTTGCTCATAACAGGAAGCCATATGAGTGAAGACAATGAATTAAAGAAGAAATTGAAGGCTGAGTTTGAGATGACTGATTTGGGTGAATTATCTTTTTTCTTGGTATTGAGTTTTCTCACACAGACCAAGGAATAATAATGAACCAAAAGAAGTATCTTTCTGAAGTCCTAGAAAGATTTAGTCTGCAGAATTGTAATCCAGTAGATACTCCAGTAGAAGTAAATTGCAAACTGGATAGATGTAGCAATGAATCTAAGGTTGATGCTACTCTATATAGACAGATAACAGGCTGTTTGAGGTTCATGTGCCATAGCAGGCCTGAGATTCTGTTTGGAGTTGGAATGGTTAGTAGGTTTATGCAAGATCCCAGAACTTCACACCTAATTGCAGCCAAGAGAATACTAAGGTATTTGAAAGGTACATCCAAATGTGGTGTATTATTTCCGAATGATCAGACTCACTCCACTGAAGATCAAGAGCTGCAACTGACTGCATATTCTGATTCAGATTGGTGTTGTGATAAAGTTGATAGGAGAAGTAGCATGGGGTATGTATTTTTTTTTTGAGAAATATACCTATATCATGGTGTTCTACTAAGCATGATGTAGTAGCTTTGTCTACTTGTGAAGCTGAGTATATTGCAGCATGTCACACTACATGTGAAGGGTTATGGCTCCTATCCTTGCTAGAGGAAATGAATCAGATGAATAGCTGTGGATTACAACTTTTAGTGGACAACAAATCTGCTATAAATTTGGCCAAGAATCCAGTTGCTCATGGCAAAAAGCAAGCACATTGAAACAAGATTTCACTTTCTCGGGGATCAGGTTAATAAGGGGAGAATCCAACTGATTCATTGCAACACAGAGGAGCAGATAGCAGATGTGTTCACTAAGGCATTGAAGACTGAGAATTTTCAGAAATTTAAGGAGATGCTAAATGTTGTCAGTTTGTAATCTTAGCATTATATTTGCTTGTTCTGTTTGTTAATCTTGGTATTAAGGGGGATGTTAAGATGTAAATACCAAGATTAATTCAATAAGTGTATTTTGCACATTATAAATAAAGGCATCAGGCTGTACAAATGGTAGTCAGCCTATTTCCCCAATTATCAGCTTATCCGTTTTTCTGTTATTCTTCTACCTGCTCTAACAATTATAGGGTCCTAAAGACAAATTTCGCAAAGTAGAAGTAAGAAGTCTCTCGAATTCACAAAGCACATAATGTGAAAGTGAGTCAACCCCATTTGTCAAAGTGGCATGAAAGAAATCCTTGAGTTGTGCATATTCTTTAGAGGTTTGCTCAGGTTCAATATTCATCAGAGGGTTGTGGGCATCTTCAATAGAAACCAAATCCAACGAGCGTTTTTCGAAATGCTCAATATCAACTTGAAGTAATGCTCTGAAATGGAAAGCTCGATTTCCCAAGAGTGATGATAACCTCCATTAAAAGGTAAAAAGTCCAAATTCATATGAGAACTCCACATGTCCAAAACAACCTCATCTGAATCGTGTTCAATTGCAAAAAAATTGAAGCAATTGAATTCATCAAGGTCGCTCTGAATAAATAGAGAATCATGTCCCCTCTCAATTATTCTGACAAATCCTCCAAAACAAATAACATCATAAAAAACTCGAGCTCCAATCTGTACGCCTAGGAAGGAAGCACCTTTGTAGACTTCCATCTGGTTCTGGCCGCATACTCCAATCAGCCCCGCGGAAAGTCTGGGCTCGATCTCCAATCTACGAGGTGAGAGATGCCCAGTGTTGAGGGCGTCGACTCCGTACAGGACGCTACCGTGCTTGTTAGCCTGAGCCGCACCTGCATCCGATCGCCGGTTGTGTTTGCTCCACATGGTACCTGGATAATAGCCGACTACCACCGCGGATGCCTCTCCCAGAAGAAGTCGCCGGTTTGGTGACGGAATTACGGACTGAGAATCTTCCTCGCGTCGCCCAAGTCACGGATCTCATTCCCCGAACGCCCTCTTTCAAATGTTTCCTCTGCAATTATTATGGAACAATGAGATTTTCCGAAAATCTAAAATGGAATGATTTTAGCGGGTAGGAGAGACTAAAACATGAAAGTAATAACATAACTTTATTTATAATAAAAATGTAAAAAAAAATAAAAAATACGAACATAAATATTAAATAACATAAAAAATAGAAAAAAAATAAAAAACCTAAAAACAAAAATAAAAAATAAAAAATGTAAAAAATATACTCGACTGCCGCCTAAACAACCACCTTCCACCACCAGCTTCGACCACGTGAGAAAAATGATATTCCCTCCGTTCCTATTATATCTTCCACCTTTCCTTTTTCACCCGTTCCAATTAAACTTCCACTTTCTCCTTTTGGTTAAGAATTTGTAGTTCATAACATTTCTTACACATTTCTCTCTCCTCTGCACAACTCTCCACCACACAATACCTACTTTTCTTAAATTGTGTGCCCATGGGAAACGGAAGATAAAATGGGAACGGAGGGAGTACTCCGTAACATGTATCAAAAATGTCATCTTGTTGAAAGTTTTCCAGAAAATTTTGACATTTTTAATGAATAAAAATGTCATTTTCATGACATTTTCAGATAAAATGACAATTTTTAAACAGAATGACATTCTTTTGCCTATCTGATGTGGCATTGGTGGGAGGTGACCTAGGCTGCGGGAAAGGCCACAATATTTTTTTAAAAGTATTTTATCTATTTCTACAGTTTTTTGTTTTTTAAAAAATATTTTTTATTTTAATACGGAGTATTTTTTTTAAATATACGTAGTATGTTAATTTTTAATATTTTTTACGATTTTTTGTATAACTTTTAATATATTTTTAGTATATGTTGCTTTTATCACAAATTAAAATATGATTATCCTATTAAGATAAGAGTAGAATGGGAAGATAGAGTATATTTTAATCCTATATTGGAAAACTAAATTAAATAATCCTATTTGTGCATTTAGGAACTAGTTTTAGTTCTATTTAGAGCTATTTTCCCTTGAAACTATTTGTATTTTATTTACGTAGTATATTTTACCAACTTATTTGATGATTTAACCAAATATACAATACGTTGCTATAAGGCTTTTGGAAATTCATTATCGTAAATAACTTCGTTTGCTACTTTAATTTGTTCGATGGAGTTTTTAAAAATGTTATTGAAGAAACACGAGAAAACAAAAATATAGAGCAACAATATATAAATATTAAATTTATTTAATGTTTCACCAATACTTTGTTGCCAACATTTACAATCTGAATAAGATGCGATTTTAAACATTTACAATCTGAATAAGATGCGATTTTACTGGGAAGCCTATTATGTATAGAAATTGTCTTAAATAGGAGCAAAAACGTTTTGAAATTCCAAAATAGGAGTATCATGTTTTTTATTCCCTGAACAGGAGTAATCTGTCAAGTTTGGAAGAAAATGCCATGTTTAAAGCCTAGTAATGCCATGTTTGGCAGAAATTTACTCCTATTTAGGGAATAAAAAACATTATACTCCTATTTTGGAATTTCAAAACTTTTTTACTCATATTTAGGGAATTCTCTATATTTATTCCATACAAAAAAAAGATGAAATTAGTGAAAATAAACGTCTGGAGTCTGGAGATTAACCCACTTGTCCAAAAAACCACTTGTCCAAAAAACAAACCATTCGAATTTTTCCTTAGATTATAAGACTCTCTTTGAACAAAAGTAGCAAATAGCCTGCTGATACTCAAGATAATTAATCTCTTTTATTAAAAAGTGTCCCAACAGTACCTGATTAGATATAAAATGGTGTGCCTTAATTATAATAACTCTTCTTATGAGCTTACGCGTATAAAAATGTAGAGCTTCTTTGGTAAAATTGGCTAAATCGGTTGATTCTGCTGAAATTTATGAAAGTCTGGTTGAAGTGACTATATTGGATGATTCTGTTGATTTACGAAAAAATTATAATTAAAATAGTTGTTATTAATAAATAAAATTAATAAATAAAATAAAAAATTATACTCCCTCCGGTCGCAAAAGAAATTCACTCACGGTTTACGATGATAAAGCAACTCGATCCCTGTTCACGCTCGGATTATTTTTAGCAAATAAAATTTACATATTTAGAAACTACATTAAAACCGCTACAAAATCTGATCAAGAAAATTTAAATTTGATATATAAAATAAAACATTAAGAGAAATTTAAGTTGAGTAATGAATAGTAAGTGTGAATTTCATTTAGGACCGGAGGGAGTATGAAAATAGCTAAAATGACTTTCTACGGTAACTTCAGGGTATACAAACAGAAAAGTAACTTCAATCTTACTTTTTGTTATTATTACACAATTTAGTGCATGAAATGAAAAGTTAAGTACTAGATGAAAAAGTCTACTGATAAATTTGATAAGTCGGAGGACTAATTTGTTCACTTCATCAAAATCATCCCACTTCCTCAAAATCCTCGTTGACTTTAGGGATGGCTAATTTCTTCGTGAAAAAGTTAATTTTCATGACTTTAGTTTTGATCAATCAACAAATATATTCCTTTTAGCTAACGCGGTCGATCTGTTGTTTGAAAATTGAAATCATGAACTCATTACTCTTATATAGCCGCAGCTTTTGGCTTTATGTAGACTGTTAGCCACCAATCCACCACTAAATTCACTACATATTAAAATACGAAGTATTTAAATATTGAATTACTCTATTCATTCCTTATAACTTTATCATTATTCATTCACTTTTAAAAACTTTATCATTTTCTATTTTTAATCAAAGAATTTATGATTCATATTATTTATGTCTGATCTATTCAAATCACAACCACAAAATTTTTATTTTATTGTTTCTCATGTCAGTCAATGTAATAAATTTTGAGGGAAAGCGAGTATGGAATACTAAAATTACACGCAAGGCGGATAAAGTTAAGGCCCCAAAAGACAAAGAGCTGATTTTGTTGAAAATGATTACATTCCTCTTGAATTGGTTGAATCTGCTAAATTATGGGGAAAATATTGAAAATAAATTCTATTAATAAAATAAAATAAAAAATTATATGAAAAGTCACCTAAAATGGTCATTTACGGTAACTTTATCCGATTTAATCAGAAACGTAGTTCAACCTTACCTGCTTTTATTACAGTATTACACAATTCAACACATAAAATCAAATGTTACGTGATTGGTGAAAAAATTGGCTGAAAAGATTGATAAGCCAAAAATATGGGTTCAGCAAACCGGCTCAAAAACGTAGAATACTAGTAGGCTTCTAACATTTTCTAAACAGACATCTCAAAATTAAGGTTTTTCTAAATTTAACGTTTTGTAGTATAAACTTCTAGATATAAATAATATTCTATATATAATAAACGTAACAATCATGTAGCTTTAATTTATCATATGCCATCCATTTTGATAAAAATGATGAGTTTAACTTGAGTGTTTTGTGATGATGATGATGATTTTAACTATATTTTGTTCTATTGTTATTTTTGTGTCATTTTCTTAACATTAGTTTTGCTAAAGATAATAATGTCTTGGACTTGATTACTACTCCGGGGTATATCTTTTTTTTCATCAAATTGCGATGTTATGAATTATTCTTTGATATAGTAATGAGATTTGCTATTTGAATATGTGTATATTTGATTTCATTTTAATATATGTTGTTTGGTGATATATACAATTTAAAAGTACAAAATGAGACTTGTATTTTTTGTCAGAATTTTAAAAGATACTGAAGTACCCATATGCGTATTTAAACGTTTTTAATAGTCAAATAACTTTAAACAATTTTTAACCGTTTTTCGGTCACGTAACAAATAAAACGTATACATGTTGAATCTTGTTTAATTCTGATACTATGTTTAATAAACAAGGCTCGATCGAGAGTGTGACTCTGCCTAAGCACAAGAAACAAAAGATCAAAAACATGGGTTCTCCCTAGGTGTCTAGGGTTTTCACTCCGACGTGTGTTGTCAGCCGCTGCAACTCATTCTCGTTCGTGATTACCTCTTTCAGGCTCCCATTTTCGTTTCTCAGCATGGCCAACGAAGTGGACGAGCTTTATGCTCGCCTTTCCCTTGAGGATGATGACGCGGAGGGCGTCGATATAGATGAGGCTTAGCTTTGACGGAGAACGCCATAGTGGCGGCACCGATGTGTCTGGTGGGGAAGCTCTTGACGGATAGAAATATCAAATTCCCTTTCTTCCGAGACACCATGGCAGATGTCTGGAGGCCGAACAAAGGTGTCTACATCCGTGAAATTGAGGACAGAAGGTATATATTCCATTCTATGATCAATTTGATTTCGAACGAATACTGGTCGATGGCCCTTGGTGTTTCGAAAGCTCGCTTTTGATCCTTCATAAACTGGAAACAAACGAAAACCCTAAAACGGTTCTGTCGGATTACGTTCAGTTTTGAATTAGAGCTTATAATCTTCCTCTTGAGTTGTATACGCAGAAAATGTGTAAAATAGTTGGGGATCAGGTTGGTTCATTTGTGCTTGCCGATGAAAAAAACTTTGCACGAGGATGGAGGGAATACCTTCGGTTATTCGGGTTTCCCTTGATGTGAGAGTTCTTCTCAAAAGAAAAGTTACTCTCAAACGAGGGGGGAACCGATCCGGGTGGACATAAAATATGAACGTTTGCCTCATTTTTGTTTTATATGCGGCCTTACCAATCATGTTGATCATATGTGTTCATGGCGATTTGAGTTTGAGAAGACTGGGAGGGAGAAACCTTTCGGATCTGGGCTACGTGTCGTTTCCAACAGGGGAAGCATGAACAGGGGGACTAAATGGCTAGTGAACGGTGAAGGCAAATTTATTCATGGGGGGGGGCACCCTCGACCGGCAGTAGGGCAGTGACAGTTCATGAAGAGGATCCAGAAGTGGAAATTTCATCTCATGGTGAGGGTTCACTGGCAAAGAAGAGAAAGGCAGGTAGAGACGTGACAGTTGATGGAAATGTAGGGGGGCAGGGTATGGATATCTCATTTTCAAAAAATGGGGCAGCGGCGGGTTCTGGTTCCTAGGCCCGCCGAGAACAATGAGTTGTCTGAGCTGGAACTGTCGGGGGCTTGGCAACCCTACGATAGTTCGGCTGTTGGTGGATGTGGTCCACTAGAAGCGGCCATCCGTGGTCTTTTTAATGGAAACTTTTTCTGATGACAATAGGGTTGCAAGTGTGATGCGTAAGATCGGTATGGACTACTCTTTTGCGGTGGCGAGTGAGGGTCATCGTGGAGGTCTTGCCCCTTTCTGTAGGGAGGGTATCCAGGTTCAGATTGTCAATTCTTCTAATCATTTTATTGACTTGCAAATAAGTTTGGAGGAGGGAGCGCCATCATGGCATTTTACGGGGTTCTACGGCTGTCCGGAGAGAACAAGAAGACGGGAATCTTGGGATATTTTAAAATCCCTTAGTTTGGGCATCGATCAACCATGGTTGGTCATGGGAGATTTCAATGATTTAATATTTGCCACCGAGAAGAGAGGTCGAGTTCTCCATCCTCCGTGGTTACTCAGGGGTTTTCGTGATTCCGTGTGGGCGAGCGGTTTGAGGAATTTTGCTTTTAAAGGCTATCAATGTTGGAGAGGGTCTCCAAACTGGGTGGAGGAGAAATTGGACAGGACTTTGGTGTCAAAGAGTTGGTTGGATATTTTCGGTGCAGCGGAAGCGGAATCTCTCGAAGGAGCACCCAGTGATCACCTGGCTATTTTTATTAAATTGATCCCCGCGTAGCTTATCCGACGTAGACGGAATTTTAAATTTGAAAATGTTTGGTTGAGGGAGGCGGAATGTCCTGAGATAGTGGTGTGTAGCTGGGGGACTTGCCGTAGTTCAGGGATTATGGGTCAAGTGTCTTTATGTGGAAAGGCCATTGCGGATTGGGGCTTCAATAAATCTCGCTCTTATGGTAAACATATTAATTTTTGTCGGAAATTGGATTCTTGGGGAATACTTGAGTTCCAGAGGGTCAAAGAGGAATATCTTGAGCTTTTGGAGAAGGGGAATATCTTTTGGAGACAACGAGCAAAAGAGTTCTAGTTTCAGGGGGTGATCTCAATACACGATACTTTCATAATTCAGTGAAAAGCAGACGGCGCAAGAATAAAATGGAGCGTTTTGAGGCTCGAGGATGGACGATGGGAAACAGACAGGGCTGACGTGGGGAAGCTTATTGGGGATTATTTTAACAACTTGTTCGCTGCAGGCAACGGTGGGGCTGATTTAGTGTATGGTTGTGTGCATCGCCAGATTTTTGATTCGCATAATCAATTTCTTATGGGTCCCATTCGCAGTGAGGAGGTGAAAGAGGCTGCCTTTGTTATGTTTCCGGACAAATCTCCTGGACCGAATGGTTTCAGTCCGGGTTTTTACCAGCATTTTTGGGATGTGGTCGGGCAGGACATTGTGGAGTTCTGCAAGCAAGCTTTTGAGTCAGGTAAACTCCCGGATTTTTTTAATCACACTAATATTGTTCTTATTCCAAAGAAAGATAAACCTGACTCTCTCAGTGACTGGAGGCCGATTGCACTGTGTAATGTGATTTACAAAATCTTTTCTAAATTGCTTGCTAACCGCATGAAAAAAATCCTACACTTGTGTATTTATGCGCAACAAAGCGCTTTTATACCGGGTTGATGCATTGTTGATAACATTATGCTTGCTTTTGAATATCAACATTATTTGAAATGTAAGCGTCAGGGGGAGGTGGGCCTAATAGGTCTTAAGTTATACATGAGTAAGGCCCATGACCAGGTTGAATGGCCTTCTCTGGAAGGGATGTTACAGAACTTGAATTTTCATGATAGATGGATAGGATTGCTTATGGAGTGTGTCACCTCTGTTTCCTATTCTATTCCTTTTGATGATGGTATGATTGAACTTGTGTCTTCGGATAGGGGTCTTCGTCAGGGAGATCCTCTATCTCGGTACATGTTCTTAATTGTGGCAGAGGGTCTCAGCGCGTTACTTCGCAGATATGAATCTCTAGGCCGTCAGCATGGGGTTTCTATTGCTCGGGGGGCTCCTATGATCTCTCATCTATTTTTTGCAAATGACAGTTAGCTCTTTTTTAGAGCAACCCGAGGTGAAACTTCTTTAATCAAGGAGATTCTGGCTAACTACGAAAGAGCTTCAGGACTGGTAATAAATTTCAATAAATCAAAAGTTTTCTTTAGCACAAACGTCGATACAAATTAGTGGGAAGGTTTGATCGAACTCCTCGGAGTTGGGTTGGCTGGGGAGGAAAAGAAATATTTGGGGCTGCCTGCTCTGGTTGGGAGGAACAAGAAAAACATATTAGGCTATTTCAAACAGAGAGTGCTCACCCGTATTAACAACTGGAATAATAATTTTTTATCTAAAGCATGTAGAGAGGTACTCTTTAAGGTCTTGATTCGGGCTATGCCTACGTACTCTATGAATGTTTTCCTTCTGCCTGTTGATCTTTGTCGACAAATTGAGAATATTATGAATGGGTACTGGTGGAAGGGCAAGACAGGTAAAGGAATTCATTGGAAGGATTAGGCCTCTCTTTGTGGGCCCAAATCGGCAGCGGGTCTCGGCTTTAAAAGGCTTCGGGAGTATAATGTAGCTATGTTGTCTAAGCAAGCTTGGAGAATCTTTACGAATCCGGGGTCGTTGGTGGGACGAGTTTTTAAAGCGAGATACTTTCCTAAAGGAGATTTTCTCAGAGCTAAACCAGGGAATAACCCTTCTTTTATCTAGCATAGTCTCATTCACACTCAGAACATTATCCGGGAAGGCTACTACTGGAGAGTGGGTGACAGACATTCCATAAATATTTGGGAGGAACCGTGGTTACCGGATAGTAGAAAAAACCTGAGGGTCATAAAAGAGAAACAAACAGGCTTGGAAGAAGCGGTGGTGGCTTTTTTATTTATCACCGATCTGCGGGAATGGGACGTGGATGTGGTTGCAGACATTTTTTGCATGTTTGAATATGTATTCAATGATATGACTCTTTAATATAATGTTAACATTATCTATTGAAAGACGAAGTATATTAAATGTCACGCCCCGGACCCCATCTGAGCCACGTAGACAACCGCCGTACAACCCGATAAGAACAACAACAGTTCATCCTTGTTGAGTTGTACAAGGCGTCCGATTGATTCCATCGCCAAACCGATTAGTAAACACGTACAATCAACATCAATATCATACTCAAACAAATGCGGAAATAATAAGATGTTTGATACTTAGCCACACGTGGCAAACACGGGCACGCAGGCCCCCAACTGTTTTAATGAAAATATTGTTCAAAAATCCATGAGCAGTTTATACATTTGAAATATGAATGGAAGCACGAACCACGTCTTCCTTCTCGATCGATCACCCTAGGCAAAGGTGCAGGTAGTAGGACCCTAGCCTCAACCTGAAAAATGTGAGGGCCCCCGGATGGGTCAGTACTCCATAGAAGTACTAGTGACAAGCAGGCTATATGAAGAATAACTAATGTTTCAGACACGAGACCCAAAACTAGGGTGTTACATATATATATATATATATATATATATATATATATATATATATATATATATATATATATATATATATATATATATATATATATATATATATATATATATATATATATATATGTGACTCATTCATCCGATGATACATACTGTATATATATATATATATATATATATATGTAAAATACTCGACCCGTAGGTCATTTCATTCAAAGAGTCTTTTAGAGATAAAGTTCTTACCTGGCCTTTCTCACCCTTTTCCCGAATGTCTAGCTCACCAGCTACATTCTACATTCATAATATCCTACCGAGTTTTGGGAGCATTTAGCATCTCGGGAATACTCAACCCAAACCGAGTTTCAGGATCATTAAATGGTCCGGGGATGCTCAACCCCAACCGAGTTTCAGGATCATTTGCAGTCCCGGGGATGCTCAACCCCAACCGAGTTTCAGGATCATGTATGGTCCCGGGGATGCTCAACCCCAACCGAGTTTCAGAATCATTTAATGTCCCGGGGATTCTCAACCCCAACCGAGTTTCAGGATCATTTATAGTCTCGGGGATGCTCAACCCCAACCGAGTTTCAGGATCATCTAATGTCCCGGGGATACTCAACCCCAAACTAAATCCTCACCAAACCCTAACCTGGATATGGCTAACCTTTCGTTCCTTCAACTATGGACAATACCTAGCCCTATAGTCATACAACCATCCTTAGGAACCAATGTGGGCGGGTCCCACCTGAACGGCCCACATTAACCCGCTCAAAACTGCCCGTTTTGAGCATAAACCAATACTCGATCGAGTATCTACCCATACTCGGTCGAGTACAGGAGGCGGTAGCCCCCAAAGCTAATTTTCCATGTATACTCGATCGATTATATACCTATACTCGATCGGGTATAGGAGACAGTAGCCCCCTGGGCAATTTTTCAGCAAATACCCGGTCGGGTATGTGTCAATACCCGGTCGGGTATGGCAGTTGACTTGGCGGTCAACGCCCCTTTTGACCCCCCAAACGGAGTCCGATTAACTTGAAATTTTATACACATATACTTCTTGATTCCCTTGATCCAAAAATACCATTTTGGATCCCTGGATCGTCACACAAAATATGTTACCACATTTTTAATCACCAAACGTACATAACATGCTTTTCAACTATGTTTTATGCAAAATCATGGCATAAGCAAATACTTGATTATCTTTAATCATTCCACAAAACATATCCTTGATTACTTTAGGTAATCTCATGCCTCACGCAAAAGTTATAAAGCATAAAGCCGTCTTCTCACCTTAATGAAGCTTATGAAGTTCTAGCCTTCCCGATTTAGCTCCGGCGAACTTCAACGAACTCCGGCGACAACTCCAGCGACTCTTTCAACTCCGTGAAAGTTCCTTGAATACCTTAGACAAGTTACTAACAAGGTTTTATCATCATAAAACCCATAGTAATACAAATAACCCCCAAAAGGTTATTTTCCGGCGAACCGGTTACTTTGGCTCCTAAGTCCGTTCTTGGACTTAGAACTACCTTCAAACCCCTCTTTCTACACATAACAACGTGTAGAACAATACTAGGGTATGAAATATGATTGAATAATCATATAAGAGTATTGAAGAACAAGAAATGGGATTAATGGAGTCCTTACCTTGCTAAACACAAGTTTTCCTCTCCAAAACCAACTTTTCCTCTTCTCTTTTCTCCTCCTTCTTCCTCCTTAGCTCCAATGCGTATATGGCAGATGAATATGGAGTATTTACAGAGCTTAACTCTCTTCTTTGAATGGGTTGGCCGAGCATATGGGTTGTTGGGTGAGGGGATAGCCTTTTGGCTTATTCACCAATAATATGGGGGGAGGGACCCCTCTCCATTTATTGGTTTGGCCCCCAACCAGCTATTGCCCCCTTTCCATCACATTGTGCGGCTCCCCTTGGCTTTCTTGCAGAGATAAAGACGTGGGTTGGCCCCCGTGGGAGGTCACCCCTTTGTGTACCCAAGTGTACAATCGGTCCCGAAAGTTGTATTTTCCGGACTGTTTTAAGTATATTTTATTTTATCGGGTCAAATAGAATATAACACTTGTTCCCAATCCTTATTGGACCTTAGAATCAATATGATTCCCCAACTTTAATTTAGAAATCTCCGGAATCCCTTTTTGGGCTGTTATCAGATAAATTGCCGATACCGATAATTTGGCCCCGTTTGATCAACCGGTCAACTCTATGCCATTGCCATGGCCCAATTAAGATATCCATCACCATATACATATTATCTAGTCCAAGATCAATATAATATGTGCTTCCGATAATATCGGGCGGCCCCACATCCGGTGTGGGCCCCACGTGAATTCTACTATTCACGTAATAGAAATGATAAAAAATTTACAATCACGTAAAAATGCTTTTATACATTTCTCAAGGTTCAATACATAATTTGGTACAGTACAAATACTCGGGGGCGGTGTTACAAGTTCTACCCCCCTTATTTGGGATTTCGTCCCCGAAATCCACGTGTCTAATCAAACAGAAATGGATATTGTTCCCTCATTAGGGTCTCCACTTCCCACGTTTGCTCCTCGACACGATCACTCTTCCAAAGTACTTTTACCATCGGCACCTCTTTGCTCCTTAGCTTCTTTACCTGTCGGTCTATGATCTTTACCGGCTGTACCGTATAATGTAGGTCTTCTCGGATTTCTACCGGTGGTTTCTCAAGAATATGTGACGGGTCCCGCACATACTTCTTGAGCATAGAAACATGAAATACATTATGAATCTTTTCTAACTCTGGAGTCAACTGAAGTCGGTAAGCTACAACCCCAATCCTTTCAAGGATTTTGAACGGGCCTATGTAACGTGGGTTAAGCTTACCCCGACTGAGGAACCTGATGATCCCTTTCCAAGGTGATACCCTCAGAAATACCTCGTCACCAACCTCAAATTCCAACGTCCTCCGACGTTTATCAGCATAGCTCTTCTACCGGTCTTGGGCAGCCTTGAGCCTATCCTGTATGACTTTTATCTTCTCCTTAGTGATCTCAACTAACTCGGTTCCCTCGAGTTTAGCCTCGCCGACCTCGTTTCAACACAATGGTGTCCGACATCTCCTCCCATACAATGCTTCGTATGGAGGCA